CTTCTCGTCTCAAATCTTCTCCCCCCCTGGCCCCTCATATTCCCTCATGCATGGCTTTCTCAAATCCTCAACCGTATTTTATCAGCATGTGACAGGATTCAGGTTTATACCATTGGTACCAGCCAAAGCCATGTGGGGCTGAAGAGAGAGAACTTTTCTCTTCTCTTCTCTTCTCTTCTCTTCTCTTCTCTTCTCTTCTTTTCTCTTCTCTTCTTTTCTCTTCTCTTTTTTTCTGATATTTGCTTAGCCTGGCTTAGTTCTGTGCTGGTGCCAAGTAGCATCTGGTGTTCACAACATCTTTTTGCAAGAGATAACTCTGTCCCACTCCAGGGCTGAGGAAACTCGGCTTCAGTGAGGTTAAAAGATTTGCCTAACAACACCTACCTGGCTTCACATTGTTCTGTAGAATTTCATGAGATACAAAAGACTTCCATATTAGTTCCCTGAGATATCAGGAGAATCTAGGCCCTTCTACCTTGTTCTGAAGGACCTTTTCTCTGAGGTCGGGCCTCAGACTTCCCTCCTCTGGGCTCCCCTCCTTTGGACTCCTCCATCAGCCCTCCGTGCCTCCAGTCTGAAGCCACTTTGTGCCTGAGGTGTGGGTCCTCTCTAACTGCCACAAACAAATGACCCAGGTCACACCTTTGTCTTATAAGCCCCACTCCCCAACACCCCAGCTAGCTCAGGGATGTCAGCCACTGGGGACTCTTTCCTCTCAACTCGTCACTCTGAGTACCTCCTCCTGAGCCCTGTGGAGGGCTGTTTTCCCAGATTACTCCTTGAAATTTTGTGTTATTGCACAATTAAATGAAAATCTCTAGGGGTGGAGGCAAACTTTAACATTTCTTTAAAATTTCCCCCAGGAGATGCTAAGGTACAACCAGGGCTGAGAACCACACCCAAAGGCACCCTGCCTGTCAGTCCATAGCAGGTTTGGGGGAATTAGATATTTTGCAACTGGGAGGGAACACTGAGTTCCCATTTTTTCTGTTTGCTTCTGTCAGACCTGAATCCTGCCCACCCTTCAAGCCTGATAATGCTTCATTGTTCCTTGGAAAGAATGCTGTAGTCACACCTTTGGTGCAGGGAATCAGTCTACAGAGCCGTTGACTCACCTGTTATCAGCTGATAAGCCTATATGCCTCTTGCTTGGAATAGCAAATAAGAGACAGAGTGGCTAAAAGAGAAACCTACCTCCTTTGGGAGCAGTTTCTCTGGTTACCTATCTATGAAGAATTAGAACTCCAGATGGTAGAATCTTCCAACTGGAAAAGAGGTCACCCCCATGCATGTCCATGGTCATTTCTAGGCTTAGGGGGTTTCTAGCAATGAGTGGTGGAGAACATTTCCTCCTACTTTCTGGAATCTGCCCCCACCACAGCTCCCACTCTCAGAAGAACCCCTCAAGGAATCTCCAAAGCAAGGCAGTCTTTGGTCCATCTATCCAGGTCCAGGGTTGGGACTTGGACAGTCGTCCCACAAGATATTAAACGCAAAACATAAAACAATGTTGTGTCTTTTCCAACCACAGAAAGGGGTAGGAATAAGCTAGAAACAGAGTCTAAGAAATAAAAAAGTGCTCAGGGTGTAGGTGGACTCCTATTTCAAAGCAGGTGCCGTTGTTCATCCAAAATCCAGAGATCAAGAGAGCAGGAAAGAAACGAGGCCTTGTCATGCAAATGTGACTCCACAGAGGAAAAAGGACCTCTGAGAGCCTGAGGCAAAGGCTGACCAGGACAGGCTGCCCAGGGCTCCTGTACCCAAGGGCTCCCGTGGCACAGCAGCAAACTCCCCACATGAGGCAAGCCCACCATGCTTTCACCTCCCACTTGCCAGTCTCACAGCCCTTCTAATCCAGCAATGTCAGGCAAAATCATGTGCCTCAGCCACGGCCACCTGGTGTTATGTTTTCCGGAACAAACATTAAAACTACTCAGTCAAAAGAGTCCATGATTCCACCCTCACCAAGAGTCCAGCAGAAATGTAGAATGAGGAAGGGACATCCTTTATCTTGCCTCATTAATATTGTTTATTTTGTTTTTATTTGTTTGGTTGGTTGGTTGATTGGGTTTTGGCTGTTGTAACCAGATGCCCTGCTAGGTGGTTCTCAAAAGGGATAAGTGATTTTGTTCTCTGAATAGCTTAAGGCTTAAAATGTCAGAATGAGAGCAGTGTTTAAAACCTCCAATCAGATTTTGGGTGGATTTGAAGCTCACGAGAGGCCCATGGGGACAAGATGAAGGGAAAGTCAACTCCCTTTCTCTTCCCATATGTCCAGTTTTCTGGTAATAACATACATATTAGTAGAGCCTGAAGGATATTTTCTCAAGTCTGGGGCTGCTGCCTGGATGTTCTCTCCATAGTTGTCCCAAACCAGGCTTGTAGTGTAATTGTATGTGTTAAAGAAAACTAGAACCATATCATGAGCAACTGTGAGAAAGTGGGTCTATTATTACTTAGCCAAGGTACTCCCAAAGTGAAAAGAAACTTGAGGTTCAGGACTTCCAGAAAATATGGATTAAGGATTTCCTTAAAAATATGACCTTCCCAAGACATACACTGCTTTAAGGCAGTGATTATTTTTTGTGAAACTTTATACCTCCTATGGCATCTGACAAAGGGTTTTGTAGAGAATTTGAGCTTTAAAATATTCGATGAATGAATGACTGAATTCATTGATGAGTTGTATGATTATGTGACTATGGCTATGAGTATATACCAACATATGCTGGATGCAAACACAAAAATGTAAATGAATACACAAGTAGTTGACACATGCTTGTATTTGTTAATAAAGGAATGAACAGGCTGTTTGTTCCCAGTCTCCCACAGGGCCAGCCAAGCCCTTGAGCAAGGCTTCAGAGAACATAGGTGACACTCTAGAGCCCTTCTGTATTAAGAGTGGATGCAAGGGCCACTCTAAAGGCCCTCCTGAGCTCTCCTTGCCCTACCAGGGTCACTGCGGCTCTGACATGAGAACTCAGCTGTAATCTCAAGATGCCAGTGTTAATCAGTCAGTTCTCCCAGGAAAGAATGGTCAGATCCTACAGGATTGACCCACACCATAACCCAACACATTTACCCTGCTAATATAGTTGCCAATGGGACCAAGACTGATGATGGTTGCATGTAGAATTCTCTTCTCAGCAGAGAAGCAAAGTTAAAATCAGAAGTTTGTTCAGGGAGAAGAGAATCAGAATCAAGTGGAGTAGAACTAGAATGGCTGGATACCATCATCTCCATACAAGGAGACACCTGGTGAGAAGGTTGCCTGGGCTTCCATTCCTCAGACAATGCAGAAGGCTCTTGAATGAGTTCCGCATGATCTACCTCTCCTTTTTCAATAGACTTCATCGATTGCCAATTCTTCCATCTGACCAGCTGCTTTGTGAGATGCACCTCAGAGTGAGTGAGCTGGCAGGTCCAGTGATAAAGGCCATATTTCAGACAGAAATCTTCCTGAAGAGATTAGAGAGAAACTGTTCCCAGGAAATTCCTTGTCTGGAGAGTCACATTTAGAAATAATCTCCTGGGACAGGTAATTCCCTGAGATGATTTTTAGAGACTATTTCCTTATACATTCTTAGCATCCATTTGAGGGGATGATATTTCACCGCTGAGTCTCCATGTTTGGAGGATACATTCTCTTAGGTGCTTACAGATTGCCTGACCTTGATGGCAGCCTGCTTTTCCAGGATTAGGTACCTCAAAGTGATGTACTGTGATGGAGAAAGTAACCATTTTGGGATGGTTCTGGGTTTGACCCCCAGGTCTTGCTTGTTCCTTGGTATGTGTCCTTGAAGCTCTCTAACCTCTGACTCTCAGTTTCTTCAGCTATAAAATGGAGGTAATCATATCACCCACATTGCAGGGTTTGTTTTGTTTTGTTTTGTTTTTACTGTGGATTAAGTTTTTTAATGTCTAAAAAGCCACTGATAGCTTTCAATCAAAATATAGTAATTGGCTATGATAACTAGGGTAGGACAGAGCTTTGCTTCCCACAATTCTCCAATTCTACTCTATCAGAAATACCCACGCTCAGGCCTTTCCCTCTAGAGAACACCAGGGACTCTTTTGTCTTTCTTTTGTAAAATGCATTATGCTTGTAGTGGGCATGTTTAATGACTGTTTTTCCCCACTTTGGCATAAGATCCATGAGTGCAGAGGCCGCGCTGACCTATTAATTAAGGTCATCCCTGTGCCTAGTCATTGGGGTTCAGAAAAAAACTGTTGGGATGAGTCACTACATATTAAGGACACACTAGAAACCAATGTGGTTATATCTGGAAGGGAGGTCACTGCTGGAGGGTCCCAGCAGAACCTACAGTTTCCATTGCTTCCTGAGAAGGGAACTGATGATAAAGTGGTTGTGTTGAAAGGCCTGTGATTGAGACATCAGGCTTTTCTTATACACCCAAAACCTATGACTCATCCTGACTGTAGTAGTTCCTTTGCAAAGAGACAAAAATACGGTGCCCTGGGTATATCACCTAGTAAACTTGCTCATCACGTGCTATAAATGAATATTGGGTTTCCCTAAAATGGACACAACAATATGAAGCTTTGAGCCCATATGAAGAGACTAGAGGAGAAAAAGGTTAGAAGTCATAGTCACTGTAAGTTTTACTGTAAGTTCTATCAATAATTTTTCATATCACCTTGGTCAAGCCATTTCCTCTAAGTAGACCACAGATTATCAAGCTTTAAAATGAGGAAACGGAATAGCACAATTCCACTGGCTGTCCCAGCTCCACAATGTCCTCATTCTACAGACAACCATGGGCAGGTCCTTCAACAATCAGAGGATTGTACATAAGGTTTTGCATCTCTCACAACTCCACGTCCCCTGGTGATGGCAAGGGTCACAGTTTATGGATTTGCTGTTTCTTGGGAATTTGGTGCTGGTCGATTGTGGTTGCTTTGTTTTACTGAGCCAAAGCCTAATCAGTCATGTGGAGGTGGCCTTATCTGCAGCTCATGTCTTGTCCATCCTTCTGCAGCCATGCTGCAAGCAGTACGAGCCCTGATGATCGTGGGCATTGTCCTGGGTGCCATCAGCCTCCTGGTGTCCATCTTTGCCCTGAAGTGCATCCGCATTGGCAGCATGGAGGACTCCGCCAAAGCCAACATGACACTGACCTCTGGGATCATGTTCATCATCTCAGGTAAACAAGGAGCTGAAGTTCCCTCTCTGAAATGGACTTCTGGGAATGTCAAAGCAAAATCATTCTGGCAGAGGAAACACGACTTCTCTCTACTGAGCATGGCTGGACCATGGATCAGAGCTTTACACACTGGGATTCAAGATCTGAGATTAGGGCCCAGTTATGCTGTACAGAATTGTCATGAGTGTTAAGGTCCCCCTTAACTGCCACCCCACTTTATTAGAAGAGATTATCAATCCTAAAGTAGTCATGTGACTCAGTCCCTAAAGGCATTATTTTGGTAAAACTCTAAAAAAATGATTTTAAGGGAAGAGCACTTAACATCATGAAAGGGCCAGGCCCAAAATATTTGTATTATTAATCCCTTGTCCTAAGATGCCTGGAAAATCTCTTCCTGCACACATACAAATCCTTCCACAATTAGCAAGATAAGAGAGTCTAAGCACCTAACACAATGTCTAGCACATAGAGGGAATTCAAGAATCAATGCTTGGATTAGCCATTCTGTTACAGGAATGGAATATTCTCCAGCCTGCTCATCTAAACTCATTTAAGCACACATTGCCTCAGAAACATTGTGATCCCTTTAAAGCTGACTCTGGAGCTTTCTCATTCTTGGCCCACAGGTCTCTGTGCAATCGTTGGAGTATCTGTATTTGCCAACATGCTTGTTACTAACTTCTGGATGTCTACAGCTAACATGTACACCGGCATGGGTGGGATGGTGCAGACCGTTCAGACCAGGTAACCTCCTAATCTAGTCTTAGTATTCTGTGGTGAGTACGGTTGTAAAAATCCTATTAAACACATATGCTTAATGTGACTGTCAGTGCCTGAAATAGCAAAAATTTATCAGAGGCAACCATGCCATATCGTAAATCAACAATGATCTGTAAATTCATAAACTTCATTTCAGTGAAATATCCTTGGTGCTATGACTTGAGGCTGAGCTGACATTTGCATTGAAATACAGCGACAGTTCACAGTATTTATCTAAGACGCTTACACAGGCCCCATTGTGGTGGCAATGAAACAGGCACTATTAGCCCAGGCATGTAAATGAACCTCAACCTGCATCTCCAGGCCATGACAGGAACCTGGCTAGGGACAGGTGAAAGCTTGAGTAGAACTGAGCAGAGTGCGGTACAGGTGTGAAGAGTAATGTTATGTTTCTTCCTTGTACAGCTGCATCTTCATTTTATTCATACATGCATTCATTCGACAAATGTATGGAGCACCTGCTGTGGGCCAGGAACTGTTCTGAGTGCTGGGGATAAGACAAGGTCCCCATCCTCATGGAGGTTGTGGTCTAGCCGAGGGAGATGAACCCCCATGATAATTTGGTGTCTAAAGGAGGGTAGAACTTCTAAATGATGGAAGAGCAATTCTGAAACCCATGTTCATTTAACAACTTCAAAGAGATGTACTTCAAGCAAGAAGCAGCAGCAAATTCTTAAAGAAGAAAGATCTTCTATTGAGAGAGTCATGTAAATATTACATCTAAGTGACCTGTCATCTCTGGAGTGGATACACTTGGTATTTCTCCAGCCACACCATCATGGGATACAAAGAGGGGATGAGGTTGGGATGAATCCATTAATCTCTGACTCCCTGCAACTCCAGTCCCCATCCTTGCTCTGCTTTCTTTCAAGAGAGGAGGAAATGATCCCCATAAGCTCTTCCCATCCTCCTATATGATTTTTCCATTATCTCTTGGTTGCAAGGACAACTTAGATGTATGCTGACCAATTCATTTTGGTTTTCTGGGAACTTTGCCAATTTAAGCGCTGAAAGTCCCACATCCTGGGCAACTCTTCCTTCGTGGGCAAATCAGGATGGTTGGTCAGCCTACTTAGAAGAGCCCACCTTATCTGGAGTATTTGGGTGCCTGGAGTCACTGTCCCTGCCTAGCGGGGTCATCCACCCAACTGGCACCTGGGACTAATGCCTCCATCATTCTCCCACACCATCTCCCTAAAACCTGCCCCATCCCTTCGGCAGCCAACTTATATCCTGAGATGGAGACTACAGTATTCTGAGAGTCCTCCTGAATGCATTCCTCCATGGATGGGCAGCAGTTTTTCCCTTTCTTCTGTCTTCTTATCCTGTCTACCCAGAAATCACCCAGGACAGTACAGCTTCCAAGAAAGGCCTTGGCAGTCAGTTGAAGGGACTTTCTGGTACCCCATTGGGCTTTCTGGTATCCCTTCCTCTGCTATTGCTGCATTGAATATACCTGAGCTACAAATTGCCTGTCTTCATGCTATACACAGCTTGCGAGATATGTTGTATTAGCCTACACATTGCATTTTATAACCTGCGTTAATCACCAACTTTTAAAAAGTAGAAGTGTGTCGTAGATTGGGTTACTCAGAAACAGATCCTGAGAAACAGATCCCAAGGCTCTGTTTAGCGATTTATTAAGGAAGGGGAGACTGGGTAGGAGAGAGGAACCCAGGATAGAGAAGGGAGTAATTGTAATGAAGTCTGGGACTCAACCCAATCCTGAGGAGCTGTGAACAAGACAACCTCCGAGTTGCCCTGACTTCAAATTGTCACACTTCAGCACTAGTAAGCCTCTGTGCTTGTGGGTAAAATGGCTCCAGGGACTGTACCAAAGCTAGAGCTCCAGGGGGGAAACATGGGGGCTGGCAAGCAAAGGCAAAGACCACAGGAGCTGAAGAAATGATTAAAGGAACATAGGGGACTGGGTGGAGCACCATTAGTGCTCTCTACAAGGATATTTCACAACACACACACACACAAAACCTGTTTTCCCAGCTTCTTGCCAAAAAAAAAAAAAAAAAAAAAAATCAGATCTGACTGTACTGGGCCCTCATCCTCTATGATGACAATCTCTACAGCTAAGAGACAGACGCCCTCTTAGCAAGGACTCACCCTCTCCAGTTTATCAAAAGTCCCAGCTCTGAGGTCATTTATCACTGGGCTTGTGGGGTTTTTTCCCCATATGAGAGAGCTAAGAAAGTGAAATATTTTCTTATACCCAACCCACTTCACTCATTTCAATTCCATAGCCAACCCAGTTAAGTATTTAAGTTTGCTGACCTTGACCAAGAGGTCTAAGTTAAAGAAGGGACCTCTTGCCCCCTACACAGAAGATAGAATTAGCTTCATGACTAACAATGAGGGCTTTGGAGGCAGAGGGATCCGCATTTGAATCCCAGCAACTCCTTCCTGGGTCTTTGAAAAGGTTGCTTAGCCTCTCTGAGCCTCTGTCTCTTCATCTATAGAATGGGAATGATAAATCCTGCCAAATGGGACTAATGGAAGAATTAAATAAAATTGTGATAAAAGAGTCCATCACAGTCTCAGTAAGGGCTCAATAACTGGAGCGATTTTTGTCATCATTAACATTGTGCAGTCACTCAAACATCCGTAGGGGTATCAAGGACAGGGTTTCTGTCAGGGCAGAGGGACCAGGACTACCCCCAGGAGATTCACCCGGGGGCTGAGGAGTCGTCCTAGGAAGAGGTCAAGAGGACTATCGAGGACAGGATTTCTGTCAGGGCAGAGGGACCAGGACTGCCCCCAGGAGATTCACCCAGGGGCTGAAGAGGAGTCCTAGGAAGAGGTCAGCTGTTAAACCCCTAGCTACAATGGGGAGGACCAAGTGGGTGGGATGGGGTTCTTCATTCCAAGCCAACAGCACTCAAACCAAATGCCTGTCTTTTCCTAGTCCAAAGGGAATAAAAATAGCCTACAAATAAATGTTCTCCCAGAACTTTTTCAAGCCCTGAGCTAAGTCTGCCAGCTCTGCCCTTTACATTACACTTGGTCATCCAGCTTATATTGCTTACTTTGATCCTGCTAAAATGTGTATACTTTTTAAGCACATCTAAAGCATCTTATTTTCTTAGGTTGCAGAGGTCTGCACACATTTTTGTCTTCCAAGTACTAGTATAATATTCTTATTTTGTGATTTTTAAACATACCAGTGATTCACAGTGTTCTACAAACATTCCCATGATCCTTAATGAGCCCAAGGGGAAAACCTCTATGGGCAGGCATCCACTTTGCTGAGCTCTCCCTTCCTGTGAGATTCTTGGAGACGAAGGGAAAGTTACCAGCTAACACTGAAATACCCACTGACTTCCTAACAGCTTTTGGTCACAGTCTCCACTACCCACAAAGGTCCATTTGGAATGAGAATTATTTTATTTTCAGGACACCTTGTTCTCAGACAATCCTGCTCAGAGGTGACAAGTCCCTCTTGTCTTGTGGAGGCATCCCTCCTAGGGGAAGTGTACCAGCTTTGGAGTCAGATGACACAGGTTAAAGTTTCAGTGTGGGCTCTAGAACAGTAGCACTGGGAAAGTAGAATCTGTGTTCCCTATGTCCCAGTGCCAAGGCCGTATCAGGCACATAGTAGGAGCTCAATAAATACGTGTTGAACAGATGCATAAACAATGAATGGAAGAATGAATGGTCCCTTCTCATTAGTTCTTTCTGAAGATAATGCTCCTACCTGCATGGGCAGTTTCCAGGGTACTTGAATTAGGTAAGATGAAAGCTTATTGGCCCACAGGAAGAACTCAAGGGGCCAAAATACTTTCAGAAATAATAACTTCAGACTGATTCCACATCTCTCAAATTCCTCTTGCCAAACCTTTAAGACACTCCCTAATGCCAATCGGGAGGGAGGTGGATTTCCAGAGATGTTTCTCTGAGATTAGAGACTTATAATTAATTCCATGCCTGAGTGATGCTAGTGGCCAGAGAATCCCACTGCCGTTTGGCTGACTAGCTTCCGTCCCAGTTCTGCTCTCTAAGGCTCCTCATTCAGTTGGCCAAGACCCAAAGGAGTGTGTGTTCAGTGGCATGGGCCAGGATGGGTGTGGAAGCCACAAGAACTGACAAGAGAGGATGGGTGTGGCCAAGTACAGTGGGTGGAGTCTGGAGGGTTGAGTCGCCCACATTCATTGCTTCATTTTCCCCCTCAGGTACACCTTTGGTTCGGCTCTGTTCGTGGGTTGGGTTGCTGGAGGCCTCACACTAATTGGGGGTGTGATGATGTGCATTGCCTGCCGGGGCCTGGCACCTGAGGAAACCAAGTGAGTCTCCCCATCCCAGTGCAATCAAACATTTAATCCAAGTCCATTTTAAAGTATAATTTGGAACCAGAATGATCAGTCTAGGTTTATGGAAGAACTTATTAAGTAAAGGATCCTGAACCCTCTCTTTTATGGGGAACCTAAAGAATGGAATAGGAACATTTCAGCTGAGTGGATTTAGGAATGATCCTGTTTGAGAGAAAAAAATATCCCCCCAGGTTCCCTCTGACTTCAGGATTCCATGGTTCTCAGCTGAAAGCAGTCCTCCCACCAGGGGATATTTGGCAACAGCTGAAGACTCCTGATTCTTGCCACAGCTTTGCAGTGGGGCAGGGGTGATACTGGGATCAAGTGCAGGGGGCGTGGAGGGGGCTGCTGCTAAACTTCCTGTGATGCACAGGAGAGGCCCTCATGACAGAGTCCTCTGTTCCAAAATGCCAAAGTTTTGCTGCAGAAAAACCCGGGCCAGATCTACTGCTAACTAGTCCTGTGACTTCTAGCAGATCGTTTGCCTTCTCTGGGCCTCTCTTAGCTCATCCATAAATTGAGCAGATGCGAGAAGAGTGGCTCCATGCATGTGCCTTCCAGCTTACAAATTCTGTGATTTTTTTTTTCTGGCATAACCATGTTCCCCCAGACATTGTTTCTGATTCAGCTTCATTTTCATTGATTAACAGAGGGAACTCACTAGTCATGAATTACCGGCTCTAATACAAAACAAGAAATTCTACTCCAGTGCAGAGACAGAAAAACCAGTGTCTCAAAGCCTAGGGTGACCAACCATCTGAGTTTGCCCAGCACTAAGGGTTTCCTGGGATGCTGGACTTTCAGTGCTAAAACCAAGATATCCTGGGGTAAATGGAGTGGGTTATCCTCTTACCAAATACATCTGTGGTCATGGAATGTTTCTTTTTTTCTTTCAGCTACAAAGCTGTGTCTTACCATGCCTCAGGCCACAACGTCGCCTATAAGCCCGGAGGCTTCAAGGCCAGCACTGCCTTTGGGCCCAATAGCAAAAACAAGAAGATATACGATGGGGGTGCCCGCACAGAGGACGAGGTACAGTCTCATCCTTCCAAGTACGACTACGTGTAGCGCTCCAAGACACCTCGGCATGGGCAAAAGAATCCCCCAGTTAGAACGTACTTGAAAAACAAGGAAATTTTACCTTGACTCCTGATTGCTTTTGACTCACAGTTGAAAGTTAGAAAAACTTTGATTTCACCCGTGAGGTGGCCAGATGGTCTGGGCCACATGTCTCTATGTCTCTAATGTTCCATCACAAAAACAGCTGAGTTATCAGATATGAATTAGAGGCTACCGTTCACGGTTTCCAATCCCCTATTTCTTTTTTTTAATTTAACCTTTCTAATCTGATGATAGAATGTGGTTTGAATTCCTATCAGACAATAGCCCATCGATGATCTATTTCCCAACTCGTCCCCCAGAACAATTCTGCAAGGAAAAAAGGAGAGTCCATCAAAAGACATCATTTCCTGCTATTTGATTTTAACCTCCCCCGCCAACTTGGCTACTAATAAACACTGATTGAAGAAGAGGTGATAGGGAAAGATATTTGTTATGTCTCCAGCTCATTATCTGAGTTTTTTTACACTGTGATCTTGACATTACCTGGACCAAAGCAATTTCAGTTTAAGGAAAGCTTTCTGCTTTTGCTGGCAACTGCTAATTCCAGTATGATGCCCCCAGGGGTCTCCTGGGCTCCCCACTGCAGGTCCTTTTTCTGTCACAGGCCAGAAAGTGTCCCTAGAAGAATGAGAAAAGGATATTTGTGGGTAATCTGAATATATATGGTATTCTCAATATAGTTAGAATAAATATTAGTGAAACAATACAATGTCTCTGAATTAGCCTCACCCCTGCACATGAATAGAAGAAAATGAAAAAATAATTGCTTTGGTATTGTCTATGTTGACTTTGTAAAATCATCCTTAAGTTTGAATTCCATGAAATGTTCACTGATCCTAATTATTTCCCTTTGAGCTCTCCAGGACTATGACTACACAGGATAGATACAGTGTAACCCTGTAAAAACCAAAGGATGAAGCTGAGGGAATGAGTTGAAACCAATTCTTTCAAACGACAAGCACAACTACAAAGTGATGAGCCTGGGTGTAATGTGATGGCAAGTGACCCCTGTGCACATTTGCATGGCTAGAGGTCACTGTCAGTTGACAGGAACACTTACTAGGCACTGTGGTCAGCTTTCATACTCAGAGAGCTCTTCCCTTCACTAACTTTACCTACAGTGGTTGGACCATGATGTTCAAGAACTGAAAGCTCTTGACAGCCACACACCTTCCCTGTGTTCACATGCCTGCTGCAGAAAGCCTGAATTCCTTCCAGGCCACCAGAATTCCATCTTAGCACCAGAGCCAGAATAGGTCCCCAGGGAAGTAAAATAAGAGCAGTCTCTCAAAACTACCCAATCAGGGAGCAGCACTGGCACTGGGGGAATCTCACCATTGGATTATTATTTGGGGAAAAAAGTCCCTACACCAATAGTGCATGTGAAAGTGGCCTCCAGGGATTTGGGTGACTATTCATAGGGGTCTTCAGACACAACAGAGTATGTCTGGGGAAAACCAGATCACAGCCCATTAAACAGAGAGGAATTTTGTTCACCAACATCCAAAGCAAACTCAGAGACCCTTCTCACTGAGACCGCAATGGTTCTAAGCTACATCAGATACGGTATTCATGGAACTCATTGTCTGAGATGGGATAAAGGGTGGATAGATAATTCAAGAAAAACAACAACAACCAAAAAAAGGCAGAGATGGGGGAAAACAAAACTGAGCAACCAAGGGCATGGAGATTGTGAGGGTTCTCAGGATTTGACTTGAAGGCCATGGGCACAATGAACCTTCTTTGCTACCACCAGAAAGTCCCTGGTCCGGTCTGAGGCACTGAGGTGTGGCTCAGCTGGGTTTTTAATCAGCACATTCTCTACCCAACCCTGTGTTGTATGAAAGCCTCCGTGAGTTAGACTGTGCTTTGTAATTTTGTTATTGTTGCTCTAGCCTATTGTATATGCATTGACTATTGACCTGCATGTTTTGTGAACTAAATATTAAAATTACTATTATCTCACATTTGAATAGCTCCTGCTTTTTTGTCCTAAGCTTCAGGACGTGGAGGGGGGTGTCTCAGCACCTCAAAGATGAGGGCATCTTCTGGAATGTTTCTGCTTGCAGAATCTCCCTGCTCAGCAGTAGCCTGGCTGACTAGAGGCCAATGAGGTCTGATTCCACCCACTTAGTGGTTCCTGCAAGTTGAGAAGACTGAATCAAAAAGACTTTCCAGAGTAGGCAGGCATGCGGCATGCGATCCAGGGACCACATTTAGCCTGTCTGACCCTCAGTGCACCAGCCTGAAGTGTCTAATGTCATTGGCCTGCCCACGAGTTAGTAAAACAGGAGAGCCAATGCCTATCTTAATGCTGTCAAGGGCTGGCTTCACCAGCTCCTATACTCACTGAGGCTGAATCAAGCTAAGAAACATGACCTGTAGAGTCAGAACAACCCAACCACAAACCCAGACCACCCCACTTCCCAGCTGTGTTAGCTTGAGCAAAGCAGTTAGTTGTTCTGAGTCCTGGTTTCTATAGAATGAAGATAATAACCATAATGGTATAATGCAAGTAAAGGACATATTTAAGTGACAAACACTCAACTTGCATAACTTTAAGACAAAGAGGGCATTGACTTAGGTAACTAGGATATCTGAGGCCAGCATTGGTTTCAGGCATAGATGGATAAGGGATGTGACCAAGATTCTACTTTTTTTCTGTCCGTACCTCAGTTCTCCTTTCCTCTCTGTTGGTTTGCTTCTCAGGCAGGATGTCCCCACAGGATAGCAATGATGGCTGCTCATATCTCTAGGCATATGCCATCTTTCAGCTGGAATACCTTGCCAAAAGGAAGTATCTCTTTCCTGATATCTGTAGGAGAAAAAAATTCTGATAAAACTTATTGCACTATTTGTGTCATAGCCACCCCTAAACATCTTCATATAACCAGAGTAGTCATATTTAGCTTAGCCGAGCCTGGGTCCCACAGTCAAAATATGGAGATTTCTCGTATCCCACAAAGGACCCAGAGTCCTTAGAAATCAGGCAAATTCATTGCTTTGCCTCATTGTTACCCCTTTGGTTGAACCTGATCTCCGGGAAAAGCTTCAGAGGCACAACCTCTAAACCTCCCTGACCAATTACCAAACAGCATAGTATTTATAGTACAGAGAGGGAGGATCTGAGCGATCACTCTGGTTCTCCCAGAAAATGGATAATTAAAACCTAAAACTGACCAAGACATTACATTCCATTTTAAACTAATACTCAATAGTAAAAGCAGTACTACTACCTAATGACGAGATAAGATGATATCCATTAGCCACCACTACCACAGGGTTGCTGAAAGAAATCAAACTTCTTCCTTAGAGAGCCTTCCAGGGACAGCTGAATCCTGTGTGGAGACAAGGAACACACAACTCCCTTCATAGAAAACATCATATTTTGTTCTGTCGACTTAGATTTTTGGAGGAATGTAAATATAATGTTATATCTAATATAAAAGAAGGCTAAAAATATTTGTCCTTTAATTGAGCAAACCCCCGTTTTTTAATTTCCCCTAAAGAAATAATCAAAAATATTTACGCCCAAAGATATATATCAATTGTTTAGACTAGTAAACCTGAATCCAAAGTATTTTTAAAGTGGTTGCTTCAGGTTAGGGATATGATAATAATACTTTTTCTTTATACTTTTTAGTATAAAGAATATCTTCATTTTATACCCGTACCCAGAATAAATTCCCCTTTCCTGAAGAGACATTAGAAATGAAGAAAAAAGCATTGAATGATGGTGAAAGATCACTTTGAGCCTTAAAAAGGGAGACAATTATGAGTGTTAATATTGCCTCATTATTGTCTGTTTAGATCTAGGAGATCTCCGATATAACTTCACATACTTTTTGAATACTAACTCAAATCGTCAAAATAACCCAGGAGACAGGTACTATTATGCCCATTTCATAGATAAAGAAAGAAACCAAGGCTCAGTAAGGTTCTGTCTTGCCCAAGTAAGGTCATAACTGTCCTGGTTTCTTCAAGATGGTCCTGGATTTAGACTCAAAGTCCTGCATTCCAGGAAACCTCTAGCCCCCAGCAAACCAGGACAGCTGGTCATCTTATGCCAAGGTTACATAGCTTATAGACAATCATGGTTCCAACCAAGATCTGTCTGGCTCCACATCTCACTCTCTTTCTAGTATGCCAGAGTGAATCCCGCTAAACAGGCAAAATACATACATACGTAGGAAGGAAGGAGGGAAGGAAGGGAAGAAGTGAGGGAGGAAGAGAAGAGAGGAGAGAGGTAGGGAGGAAGGAACAAATCTACTTTAAAGATAAGGGTATTTGCCTATGAATCCAAGTAGTGTAATACTTAACATACTGTAAATTCAACTTTTAATTCTCAAGTTTAAAAAAATGTTGAACAATAGCAAATGTATTGTAAATGGTGGATAGATGGTGGGAATAGAGGAGACCATCAGGCCAACTGGTCCCTTCCGAGCTGACACATTCACCTCAGCAAAGTTCTCAGGGCGCTATGCAACATGTGTGCACTTTTAAGGGCTCCTGGGCTAGAGAGTACTGTGGTGTGATGCTATGCGAAGGGTATGGAAACCCCGGGGCCCCCAAACTGCACTGTCTGCAGGTGAACTCCTCCACTGATGACAGCTAAGCCACCCAAAGGTCCTTGAGGATGGGTTTGAGCCAAGACCCATGTCATCTCAGCACTACTCTTAACTTGAAGCCCCAACACTGGGTCTGAGTCAGTCTCCCCCAACCTTCTAAAGACTTCCCATTCCTCTCTTGTCTCAAGTGGAGCTGGATGTGACTGGCTTGAGATTTCTGGTCTTTCCCTGTTATCAAAGCGGCCACCCTTAGTCCTTGTTGACTATGAAAAGCTTATTTGTTCTATTCGACAAGCCAACTTGAATTTTTTGGAAGATGAAATACCAAATATGTTAAGCATGTAAGACTTAGCCACCCATACTTAATGGCCAAAGGTGGACAGTTGCCATGGAAATGGCTCTGATAAGGACAATGGAGTGAGGCTGAAGGGTGAATAAAATTCCATAATGGGGCAGAGGCCGCCCAGCCAGCCAGTCCCTTATGATACTGGGAGTGTTTGCCCAAGTCTTAGGAGTTAAGTCATAATTTGGAGAGAGAGAAACAAAAATATCCAGCTGCAAACAAACATGTTGAGGGGTGGGAGTGGGAGGTTCAGAATATGGATGGAGATATTTTTAATGTCAGTGGTGAGTGCACGGCTTCTCACAAGGACTGGCAGAGCCCTCCCACCAGTAGCTTTCATGAAGACAGACCATCCCATCCAGCTGCAGAGGAGCACAGCCAAGAGAACAGAGAAAACCCAATGAAGACTTGTGGAGAGTTGGCATCAGAATGACCCTCACAGCCTCTCTGGCAACATACACACAAGACTCAGGCTGGCTCAGTCTCCTGGATCCAGTAGTTCCATCCCCAGGAATCTTCTCAAAGGAAGTCAGCCTGACTGTGGCAGAAGGCTGGGTGCAGAGAATATAAAAAGAAAGATGATACCACTATCTTTCCAGACACATCTTTCCAGTCTTTGCATGTCCAAGGAGTACCAAAGAAAGTGGTAGAAGAAAGTTGAACAAAAATAAAGACTTGACTTCAAAAAAGCAGGAATTGATCCACATGGAAATAATAAGTTCCCCACTTGGAGAATGTAAAAGTTATGTGCACTACCTGAGTTCTCATTCCTGCCAGGGCTATGCCTACAAAAGGGACATCAGTATGATGTTGCAGGGGAAAGGTTTCAGATACCAAAAACAATCACAAATACCTGTCTGAATGTATTTGTGAAGTTTCTGGCTTTCTATATGATTTTACTTTCTTCTTGGACTTTTGAAGGCATAACATAGTGGTTCAAGTCACAAAATAACATGTTTTAAAACACATAGTTAATGTTAACTTCAGGGACACCTGGCTTGCTCAGTCTTGAGTGTCTGCCTTCAGCTCAGGTCATGATCCCAGGGTCCCGGGACCAAGTTCTGCATTGGGCTCCCTGCTCAGCAGAGAGTCTGCTTCTCCCTCTCCCTCTGCCCCTTCCTGCTGCTTGTGCTCTTTTTCTCTCTGACAGATAAATGAATAAAAATATTTTAATAAGTAAATAAATAAAGTTAAGTTTAAACCAGGGAAGTTGATCAATATTCATTCTTTTGCTCTAGAGAAGTTCTGATCAGCAGCAATACAGTCTTATGCATTAAATTGTTATTCTGCTTACAAGCATTTTATTGAAGTGGAATGAATGACAGATTAAGTGGAAAAAACATTTCCCCTGTTTTATATGTACTTATTACTTAACTTTATTCAAATAATTCTTATTATCCTCTCCCTCCACTTTATTTATAGATATTGCAGACGTGAGTGGGAAGTTATTGTCGTTTGGCTCTGAACTTGGTGTCCAGACTTAAAATTCTTCCCTCAGTCCCTGTTGGTTGCCTCATTCTTCAAGCCAACAGTCATTCAATTCATTGCTGCTTCACAAGTATTTAAAATATTTGAGACTAATATTGCCGAATGCTCCCTTAGTAATTAGTCTAGACCCAAATCAAAATCAGGTTGTATTTGTGATATTTTTTTATTTGTCCTTGGAACCAAAATCCCAATATCTTTCATCTGAGAACAAGAACACAAGGAACACGCTTCATAGGTGCAAATGAATACAGCGGATTTCAGAAAAACACATATTACACACACTATCTTGAATTCAAACTGTTATGAAAGCCTGGGGTACAGTGTTCATCCACAGTGAGGTGTAATATAAATGAATCACTACTGTTTGGGAAAGCTCTTTGAAGCAAACACCAAACTTTTTGTTTAACCTTTTCTCCTCCCCAACCAAAAAAAAAAAAAAAAAAAAAAAAGATATACATAGGACAAAAGCGACAAAATGCTAAAGACACAAAGAAGTTCATTGCAAGGTTGTTTTTAATAATGTAAAACAAGGAAAAGGAAAAAAAAATAAAAAACA